AAGATAAATGAGCGTCTTTGTTGTTGCTTTACACATTGTTTCTTCCAATCCCAGCCAAACAACTAATTAACTAATTTATATGACTAAATAAATAACAGGTAACTGTGTTTCTCTGGTTGCATCTACTCAAACTGCCCTTCCATCCACCAGGTGCTTCTATTATTCATCAGTGTCTTCTTGACCACATGAAAAATAGAAACATAATCACCATGGTATAGAGGACAAAATGGTGGACGTGACTTACCTGCATGTCTGTCTTCTCTCTTCTCAATTATTAAAGACATAAGGGAAGCTGAGGGAGCTAAGTCACTAAAAAGAGCACCTTGTAACCCTTGTCTTCCTGCTCGTGCATCAGTCAAACCACTTACTGTGAAAGACAGAAAAAAAACACCTTAAACAACATCTGACTTGACAAAAAGCTACTGACAAAGAAACATCTCCGTGCCCATGTTGTTGGTTTGTCGCTTCTCAACTGTGAATACTTTTACCCTGTTGGAAAGTGCTGTCAGAGATACTGAAACTTCCCCTACTTTTAGTATAACTGATTATGCTTTGATACGCTTTAAGTTATCTACAACCAAAGTTCTCTGGTGCAAAGATTAAGATAGTTAAAGCTAATGTGCATGTGTTCCAATACTTGTGATTAGGAATACCAATATATATATGTATGAAAAGCTTATCTTAAAAAGCTAGTGACTGCTTGTGGTGTGAAAAAAACTGACACCCACTAACATCTGGCTTTTGTATATTTAGTAGAAGAGGTTATAATCTGCATCAGCACGCAACGACACACCTTATCATTGTATTGTACAGGTACATAAAAAAAGCCACTGTAATATTCTCACTGGCCTCCATGTTGCTTTCTATTGCTAATTTCTTATTGTTAACCTGTTTTCTGGCACACATTCGTCAACTGGAAATAAGAAAGGCATCTGCTACCTACTTTTAGCGGGGTTTAAAAGTTCAGTGTTTAAGATTTAGGGTGATCTGGAAGTATTTAGTGGTGAGGATGGCAGATTGTAACCAGCTGAAACTTCTCCAGGTAAGAATTCAGTCAGAATTGATTGTTCGGGAGGTTTTTACTGGGAGTCAGATTATCTGCAGATGTCTCTTTGTCTCCAAAACAAACTGACATAGTGATTTAAACCATGCAGTAAAAACACTTAATAAAGCAGTTTTGCATTAAAAAAAAATCAGTGTTTTTCGGCACTCTCATCACAGAGGGGCTGCTAACTATTGTGGCCAATGCGAAAATGTGAAGGCCTTGTCTAGAGCCAGTGTTTGATTTGTCTGTTCGGGGCTGCTGAAAAACATGGCAGTCGACAAGGACGTGCTCCCTACATAGAAATAAACAGTTTATTTGAAGATATTCGAAACATGAAAAAAACATGCTTATTATATCATATGGCTTTTCTGCCAGTATATCCCCCTACATCCTAAACACTGATCATTTAAAAACCTGCATATACTTGCTAATTTTAGTGGAAAGAAAGGGCATTTGTAATTTTTTTCATTAAGTTTATAGCATGGATAATCAAAATATTGACACAAAGAATTGATTTATTCATCTTTTGTTTTTTTTTTTACAGTGTACATTATACAAAAATATAGAGTACCAAAAGTTCACAGTGTCCAAAAGGCAGTGTTTAGTCAAATTCACATCATATTATAACAGCAGAAGTGTCTCTTGGGAGCAAAACAAATCCATTTAGGGGCCCGTTTGAAGATATTTAAATACAAAACACAACTTTTTTTTGCCACAGCACAGGCTGAGGGTGCCCCTTTAAAAATTAATATTTCATTGTCTGGGCCAAACACATACGAACACGTGTGTACACTTTACATAAACATGTACTGTGTATTCGCATAAGAGTGTCAGTGCATGCAGTCGAGCACCCAAACGTGAACACATATTACCAGGGCTGTTTGTTTCATGCTACATAACACTGCAGATGGTGAGAAACACCTGGATTCATTTCTTGGTATTTACAATTTTATAAAGAGAAGATATGCAATATACATTTTACAGCACGGAGTAACTTAAATATTAGCAATACTGTCCTGTTTTAATAGCCCACTATTTTGGAGCTATCTCAATGAGCTTGTGAAAATATTTTATTTACTTCAATATGTAATTTCAGAATAATGTCCAAGACGTATCCTGTAAAGAACTATATCATTCTGGAAAATGGAAAATGTTTTAATCAAGGACATTCCCCTATAACTTGTACCAAACTACAATGTTTTATCCAGGATATTTTTTTTAAATTATTCTGAAATTACTGACCACTAAAAGAAGGTGATCCTAAAATTTGAATTGCAGGGGGCATGTAAAATACTTGCACGCATAATGCCTCCATAAACGACAGAAATATGAAAAACATATTTATACAAGCACCAGTAATGTCACCTTGTACACAACACATATAGACAGGCAGCCATTCACACTCACTTTCAAATCTATGGGCAATTTAGTGTGGCTAGTTCACTGAACCTGCATGTTTCTGGACTGTGGGAGAAAACTGAAGCACCTGGAGGAAATCCATGCAGATACAGAAGAATGTAAAAGGTCAAATTTGTTGTGTTTTTGTTCTTGCAAAATTTTACACATTAGTAGTTGTATTCAGAAATGTAAAAAAAAAACAGTTATAGTCCTCCATGCTTTTCTTACTTGTCAAAAAAACAGTGTTTGTCATATTTTCATCTAATAAAACCTCAGTTATAACTTATTACATTAATGCAGAACATTTTCTACATACAAAAGCTTTTCCTGCCTTGTTTTCCCTGCCTTTGAGCAGCCATTGTTTCCCATTCATTTCAGTACACTATAAAACAAAATATAGGGACTTGAGACCTGCTTGAGCAAGTAAAGTTGAGTTACCTTCGTGATGCATGGCACTGCAGTTGAAAAGTTTGTGGCTGATTTATGGTGTGTTCATGCTCTGGTGAGAGGCTCTGTAAAATACAGGTACAGCTGCATTATATTTGGTGATCTTTGAACAATAACCTTAAAGGGATACTTCACCCGCAAAGTGATCGCTTGTGTATCAATTACTCATTGCGTGTTACCTCAAATTCTTACAGAAAACTTTGTTTTTCTTGCATGCCTTCATGGTGAACAAAGAATCCAAAAAAAGGCGAACATTCTTCATGAAGTCATTGGGGTCCACGTTTGACAACAGCAAAACTATATTAAAAACATCAATTTACAAACTGTCACACATCTCTAACAGTATAATCCAAGCCTCATTTATCCAGTTGTATACTCAGTACTTCCCAAACACATGCTAATTTTCGCTAATTGTTGTCCCTGTTCACTTTGAGTAATGAAGAATGTTCGCCTTTTTGGATTCTCCTGTCAACGTGGTGCCACGCGAGAAACAAATGTTCGCAAATTCAATGTACAGTGCCCTCCAAAAGTATTGGAACAGTGAGGCCAATTCCTTTATTTTTTTTGTAGACTGAAAATATTTGGGTTTGTCATTAAAAGATGAATATGGGACAAGAGATCAACATTTCAGCTTTTATTTCCAGGTATTTACATCTGGATCTGATACACAACTTAGAAGATAGCACCTTTTGTTTGAACCCACCCATTTTTCATGAGAGCAAAAGTATTGGAATATGTGCCTGACAGGTGTGTTTTGTTGCCCAGGTGTCTCCCAATTACATTGATTATTCATACAATAAATAGCACTGGATGTCTGAGCTCAGTTTCAGATTGGGTACGATAGTTTTTGCCTGTGCAGACTGTATTTAGAGGTGGAACCAACATGAAAACCAGAGAGCTGTCTATGGGTGAAAAAGAAGCAATTGTGAATCTGAGAGAAGATGGACAATCAATCAGAGCCATTGCACAAACATTGCCCATAGCCAGTACAACCATTTGGAATGTCCTGAAGAAGAAAGAAACCACTGGTGTACTAAGCAACAGACGTCGAACAGGTAGACCAAGGAAAACATCAGCAGTTGATGACAGAAACATTGTGAGAGCTGTAAAGACAGACCCTAAAACAACTGTTAGTGACATCAGCAACAACCTCCAGAGGGCAGGAGTGAAGGTATCACAATCTACTGTTCGCAGAAGACTTCATGAACAAAAGTACAGAGGCTACACCAGATGATGCAAACCACTCATTAGCAAGAAGAATAGGAAGGCCAGGCTGGAATTTGCCAAAAGGTACAGAGATGAGCCTCAAAAATTCTGGGAAAAAGTTTTATGGACTGATGAGACAAAGATTAACTTTTTCCAAAGTGATGGAAAGGCAAAAGTTTGGAGAAAGAAAGGATCTGCTCATGATCCCAAACATACAAGCTCATCTGTGAAACACGGTGGAGCGAATGTCATGGCTTGGGCTTGCATGGCTTCTTCTGGGACGGGCTCTTTCATCTTCATTGATGATGTAACACATGATGGCAGCAGCAAAATCAACTCAGAAGTCTACAGAAACATTTTGTCTGCTAATTTAAAGAAAGATGCAACCAAACTGATTGGGAGATCCTTCATCATGCAGCAAGATAACGACCCAAAACACACTGCCAAAACAACAAAGGAGTTCATCAGGGGCAAGAAGTGGAAGGTTTTAGACTGGCCAAGTCAGTCTCCAGACTTAAACCCAATAGAGCATGCATTTTACCTGCTGAAGAGGAGACTGAAGGGAGTAACCCCCCCAAAACAAACAACAACTGAAAGAGACTGTGGTGAAAGCCTGGAAAAGCATCACAAAAGAAGAATGCAAAAGTTTGGTGATGTCAATGGGTCACAGGCTTGATGCAGTTATTGAAAGCAAAGGATTTGCAACTAAATATTAAGTCTCATTCACTTTAATCTATTTTAAGTTTATATGTTCCAATACTTTTGCTCACCTAAAAATTTTGTGTTCCATTACAAATAATGCTATCTTCTAAGTTGTGTATCAGATCCAGATGTAAATACCTGGAAATAAAAGCTGAAATGTTGATCTCTTGTCTCATATTCATCTTTTGATGTCAAACCCAAATGTTTTCAGTCTACAACAAAAGTAAACGAATTGGACTCACTGTTCCAATACTTTTGGAGGGCACTGTAACTCGTGTCGAGAAATTGATTAACAAACAGCCATTCTGCTGGTGAAGTATTCCTTCAATGCATTAACATCCAGAAAATATGAGTGTGACTGACAAAAAAATAACCCACATGTTCGCAAAATTAAATCATTTTTTCTCAGCAGATACAGATACAAAAACAAACAGTGACATCTGTGAATACACCTAAAATAACTCATATAATCTGCTGTCAGAGAAGTCAACAGACGTTCATTTTTTTAACACAGTACAGTACGTAGTGAGGTGTGAAATGTCCTCTTCAGTGTTGTTGTGGTTTCTGCTAAACATTAAAATTAAAGCAAATAATTCAGAAGTCTGTAAGTCTCTGTTTGTTTCTTCACTTCATTCACATCACTGTCTTTTCTGAGGCAAACCCACACTTAAGTGTCCAAGCTACAATATCTTACAGTGTCACTGAGTCCTCCGAACACACCTGCTGAAAATGAGGAAAAGGAAAATCCCCCAAATAACAACCAGCAGATGAGTCTCCTCTCAGTCCAGTGGAAATCCAGGTACGCACATTGTCCAGGAAGTCTACCAGAAGGCCTGGAGCTCTGGGTCCTACCCTGCTCTCAAACTGCCCTGAGCACAAACAGAGCACCTCAGGGTGGGTGACGTAAGAAGGAGGGGGGGGCACCTGAACTGTAGGTGCTGGTTTCATTTAGAGAACAGATGAAAACATGGGGAGGTAAAAGCTGCTGCATACCTTTTGTGTTGGTTGTGGCACACAGATGCATCCTGAAATTTGAAACAAGGACAGTGGCTACACTCAGCTCCTTGTTACTAAACAACTAAAAGGACACCCAAAGTCACATTAATGCTACTGGATAAGATTTAATGCAATGATAAATTCAAGAGTGTTTCGGTGTGTACCCAAGTCTAACTTTTGTCTCCCCCCTCCAGAAGTAACAGTAATTACACAAACACTATTGACGCGCTTATGACGTTTGCCTGCAGATGAGCTCCCGCGATCACTTTCTTTCTTTTTTTTTAACTTTAGTCCATTCTCTGAACATCAAGGTTTTTTTTAATGGGAGCACCCACTCCAGAAACTTTTCCTGGGCACTTCTTAGGATTTTCTGCCACAATTCTAGCTGCTGCTCTGTTGCTATGGACTCTCCCCCTCCCAGTTGGGTACTAAACTTGGTATTTTTGAGGGCCCCGAAACACCACGCTGATGGCTAGCCGTTGGTCAATGTCAGCGCAACGGTGAGCATCTGTTGCCCTAGTTATTTTGTTGTGTCCTGCAGAACGGAAGTGAGGACAGCAAACAGACAGCCTCAGTCAAGAGGGCGTGAGATTAACACAAACTTTTTATATCAGGTAAGATATTTTTTTTTAGCCAGTAGGCTATGTATTTGTTTGTATTTATGTTTGCGAGTGCACAGTAAATATCATTTGTTCTTTTAACAATGTGTTGTGTTGTTAATGTGCTAGCTGGCTAATTAGCATCTTTAATCTGTCCCGTCGGTCCTCTGGTTTCCCTTTTTTTAATCACAAATACAGACTACCGCCGCCTGCTGGTATGGAGTTATGAAACACATTACTCCCAGTGCGCCAGTGTGGCAAAGTTGCCACAGACACCACAGCTCTGCTATAGTGAATAATACAGAGAGCTTTACCAGACGGCATAGGCTTGATGAGCACTGTGTGTGAAACAGACGTTATTTATATGTAATAGTCCTGCATTCCCGCTTTAAACTTCTCTGCTGTCGTGACTCACAAACGAAAAACTGCACGTAATGTAGCAACTGTGCATGATGGAAAGAAAACAATGTTTCTGGAAAAGATGATAAATTGTTTTAAAATGTAATTTTTAGTTGATGTCGGTGCAAGAAACGAAATTCTGGTACTGTAGCACCTGGGCAAATCAAACCAAAACCATCTGCATGGCAAGATACCACAAAAAATAAGTGTAATTTGGGTGAAGCAAGACTTTAAGATCTCATTAACAGATCCAAAAATTTGTGAGGAACATGAGAGCAATTTCAGTGTTTACTTCTGGAGTAACAGGATCAAAAATCTTGGTGTATTCTTTGAATGAGGAAACACTTCAGGGTGGTGTTTGGGTGAGTGAAGAGGGCTGGTTTGTTTTCAGAGCCTGGCCTCCTCTCAGCTGTGCATGTAGGTCCTGCAGGGGGAGTCTGGATGGAAGTCGTACTTGCTCAGGCTGGGTGGGTAGTAGGTGGTGGTGAACATGTTGCTGGAGGGCAGCGGGGAGGGGAAGTGGTTGCACGTCTCGTCGTTCACGTGGAGATTGTTCTTGTTTAGAGTCTGTAGTGTGGAGACATAAAGACAGTTTGGGTCCTTAGATAAAGGCACAAAAAAAAAATCACCTTTCCAAAATGGATTCTTCCGTAACAGTCTAATGAATGTGACAGGAGAGTCATGACACAATTGAACCAGCCCACCTTAAATTCCATGGGGATGTATTTCTCATTCTTTGGCGTGGCGTTGCCCTGCTTGTTGTAGGTGAGGTGGTTGGGTGTGCTGGGGTGGATGACCGCAGACTCTGCTGATGGTCGGTTCAGCTGGTGGCAATAGGTGTAGGCCAGTGCTGACAGTAATGCTGCTGCGAAGAAACTGGCCGAGCCCACAGCTACTAACTGGAACAAAGTAAAGGCTGGGAACAAAACAGGGGGGTTGGAGGGAAAGAAGACAAAGAGAGAGTTTAAGACAAACACCAATCGTCTCTTCAAATTTTTATACTTCTTGTGTACAGTGGAAGTGGAAATTGTGGAGCGAGTAAACACAACCTCCCTCTTTCATTACCTCAACCACATTCTCGAAAAGGTCGGAGTTGCAATATTTCCGCATTTCCAAAATTCTTTTGGTATCCAAGTTTTTCATAATGTTTAAAAGAAGGTGTGTTTCTACTCAGACCAGAAATGTGGACTTTTTTTTTAGCCATGCATCTCAACCACAGCCTTGGTTTGTGTACAACTTATCCATGACAACAAACAGAGCTGACTATAAACAGGCAAGACACGCTGTCTAACGAACTGCAAGAAGTCCAACTGAGTTGCATATTCCAAATGCACTGTACACGTGTCCAAAGAATGCTCCTAAAACCCGAATAATATCATCATATCCCACATGTTCTTAATCAGAAAATGCTACTTTCAGAAAAAGGCCTACTTTGCAGTATCTAAACTAAATATGCACTGTAACCAAATTTTGTAATCTGAACAGTATTTTAATGTAATATTACAATAAGATACTGTGAACAGTACATACAATATGTTAGTGTAAATAGCAAAGCATTGTGGGGAAATACTTGGTCACAATTGTAATTCTTGTCTACCGTAAATCAATTTACAATAGTATGCCTGCCCACAAAAAAAACACTGCGCACGGGTATATTCAAAAAGTATTGCAACTGGATATTTTTTTTACAGTAACATATTGTCATTTCTCAGTAGAAACTGTAATTTCAGTCATGTACTGTAAATTTGTTAAAAGATAATGAAACTAATTGTAAATAACAAAAAACAGTGATAATACTGAAGTTAAAAAACAGTTAAAGTGCTGTAAATGAAAATACAGTAATGACACTGAAAATTAAATTACAGTAATAATACTATGAAAAACTTTTAGAGTAACTTACTTGCATCCAGCTGCCATTGAGTTACTGCAAATGTACAGCAACCTTTTTTACAGTGTGCTGTTTACATTATGTATCAAATTTGTATTATGTCATATTTGCAATAATTGTGGAATATTCATGTGCATGACATGTAGTCACTGTGATTCATCCTCTGGGGACCATGAATATCCACAGCAGATGTGTTCAGGGTTCTCGCACATTTTCATGTTCATGGACAAATTTTCAAAACTTTTCCATGATTTATCAAGAACACTTTTTTTTTCCCTTGCCCCGCTTGCTGGGTATTTTTCAAACATATCAGATTCAAATTCTATTCAAACATAATGTCAGCTAGCTGGCATACGTGAAGAGGGGGACAGGGAACGCAGGGTGAAAATGAAGAAACATATGTGACAGTAAATAGTATTAATAGTAATTCCATGACTTTTCAAAAACTATCAATGATTTTTACTAACTCCATGACTTTTCCAGGCCTGGAAAATGTGATTGCAAAAAATTCCATGACTTATCTAGGTTTTCCATGACTGTGGGAACCCTGTGCCTTACTAATCTCATAGCTTTCAGAGGTTTCTAAACAGGGAAGCTTTTGTCAGATGGTGACTCCAGACAAACTTTCAGGGATCAGGGGGTCAAAGCTATTATGAGGAACCATCTTTGGGGAGCCATGCTTAACCACACCAAGAATCACTGCGGCCTGGCCAGTAAAACATGAGATGTCTTGCCTTGAACTAAAGTCAAAGAAGGACAAACTGCTGGACAGACGTCTGACAGTTATTGGCATCCTGAGGCCCTGCTGCCAGTGATGCAGGACAGGAGAAACCACCATCATAATTTGACTTGATGTCACCATCTGGCTGCTATCTAACTTTATCAAAAGACCAATACTAATCCCACACTTTGCCTGGTCCCATGTCGTGTTGGGGAAAAAGCCACAAACAAAAGTCAATATTCTACCAGCTGTGTTGGACGCATCAGGTGATGAGGAAAGCCAATAACTTTGCAACAGTAACTTGGTGCTGCTACATGCTCAGAAACTGCAATTAAATCAAAGTGACATTGATTTACTGTGGATGCAGGAGGACAGTGAAGGTATAAAACCCGACAGAATTTAAGTGGAGAATTGAGGAGGTGTGTGTGTGAGCTGGGAACAAAGAATAATAACTCTAGGAGATTGAATAGAGACATCACTTGTTTTCACTCACTTCCACAGCTCTGGTCCTCCTGTCCGGGTAAAATAACTGAGAGGAGACAGAAAGGAATGAAAACAGAGAGATGAAAAAAAACATCAATGTAGTGAAGTAAAATCATTACAGCTCCGAGAGATCAAACAACAAAAAGACCAGTTAATTTCTCTCAAAGGCTTCACTGTTCTCGAGGTAGGCAGAATGCTGACATCTCCATTAATTCATCTTTTTAATTTCGACACAGAGTGAACAAGTCAGCATTTACTGTGTCTGATTAAACTTTTGTAAAACCGGATTTTTCCAGCTTATATCAGAAACAGTCCGCAGCAATTTACTATATGCAGCAAATTTGTCCCAGCAATTTATTAACAAAAGCATGTGCTTACCTGGCACCTCGTGAGGCTGGCAGGGCCGGGACTGGGTGATGTTACCCTGGCAGAGGCTGGCCTCAGCCTGCTGGTCCTCGCTGCAGCGACGAGTGCGATGCTGCCGACCGTCTTCATCACAGTCCCCCCACTCTGTCCATTCACCCCAATCTGATGAAGAGTGGATTTGCACATTGCATTATGTTGTTGGCTGTTGCTTTGCAGTAAATCCAGGATTTATTTTGGGCAAAAACTCTAATTTTTCTTCTAATTTAATGTCAATAAATTAGTGTCCAGCCTGTTTTTAATACCTCACTCCTCCAACGACCATTTGTTGATCACTTTTCCCCATTATGTTGAATTTGCCAGACAAAGCCTTAATAGAAACACCATAAATTGCAAAAATGCCTGAAAATCTTTTGGCTGAGGTAGAAAAGTTGACATACTCTTAAATATAACATGCAGGATGCAGATGTTTTGGGACCTGCTTCTGTGTCTCTATCTCCCTGTTTTATTTCCTGTAGTATAAAAGCAGCATCAGCATGTCACTATCAAACAATTATGAAATATCTCTCCACTTCAAAATAAAGTCCCCAGGATTAAAAAACAAGGGATTTAAGAATGTAATTAAATTATGTAACCAGACCCGCTATCTATGACAGGGCTCAGGAAAAGCAGAAGGTGTTTTGTTTTTTTTTTAACTTCAATAACATAATATTATTCATGTCAGGATCACCAAGTGTGCAGGACTGCAGGTTGAGAAATGTTGGCCAGGGCGCAGTGGTCATCATCAGTCAACCACCAGTCACAGTTCAGCCTCCTTGTGTTCCTTTGTTTATTGAACAAAACCTTAGAATAGATGAGTAGTTGATGACACCAATCTGCTTTCCAGACCACAGAAAAATGAAGGTGCACACAAGTTGCATGCCTCCATATCGGGGTGAATAATAAAAAATTCAGGCTACTTTATAAGCTGTCTTTTTTCCTGTTTATTTTCTGACTTCCATCCAATGCATGCTGGGATGGGCTCCAACAACCTCAACCCAAATATCGATTCACCATTTGCTGTGTAGGGGAGATTTCCCACCGGTACCCATACAAACACCATTATTTAATCTGGAGAGACAGGGTGAATCTCTGGAGTGTATTTATGGTGTAACAATTATGATAAATGACAATAAACTTGAAAGCACTTTTGGAAACAAACTTACAAAGTACATGACAAAGAAAAGCACCAGAGCAGATATTAAAGGGATAGTTCAGATTTTTTGAGGTGGGGTCGAATGAGGTACTTATCCAGAGTCAGTGTTTCACCTACAGTAGATGGAGATTTCTATCATGCGGCCTGCGCAAAACTGGAAGAAAACAAACATCTGAGGGTGAAGAAGAAGGGTTACTTACACAAAGACAGAAACGAAAATGTCTGACCGGAGAGATTTATGAACTTCTGCCGAAGCTGAAATTGTCAGACAAATTAAAAGACTGGCGAGAGACTCTGTTGTTCGTGACCAAATCATGAACCGGCTATGTGACCGTGGTGTATCCGCATCATGTCCTGCTTCGTGCAAGCTCTACCCATGCACCAACCCTCACCGAAACCACATCGAGTACTTCCAGTAGGGGAGAACGCTTTTGACACAAACAATCTCCTGCTTCATGTGTAAAACAGAAACTCCAGATAATGTCTGGACCTGATTCTGCGGGCATTGTCTGGAGTTTGTATAAGAATATGAATAAAAGCTTTGGATTTACTGGTCCATCTACGTCCCAACCCTCACCTACGGTCATGAACTTTGGGTAGTGACCAAAAGACTGACATCGCAGATACAAGCGGCTGAAATGATTTTCCTTTGTAGGGTGGCTGGACTCAGCCTTAGAGATAGGGTGAGGAGCTTAGACACCCAGAGGTAGCTCGGAGCAAAGCCGCTGCTCCTTCATGTTGAAAGGCGCCACTTGAGGTGGTTCGGGTATCTGATTATGATGTCTCCTGGGTGCCTCCCATTAGAGGTTTTCCTGGCACGTCCAACTGGTAGGAGGCCCCGGGACGGAGCCAGAACGTGCTGCCCTGTCCACAGTAGTTTACTGCTTAGCTTCTGTTGCAATACTCCCGCCTGCTTCTGCACGCAAGGGACGTGCCGACCACCATCTACTGTAGGAAATACACTGACGATGGATAAGTACCTCATACAGCCCCACTTCAAAAAATCCAAACTATCCCTTTTACACATAATGCAATGATTCACGTTATTTAAATCAAAAGCTTCTTTTTTTTTCAGCCACATTTTGTGATTAGAAGCCAGCTAGTTTTACATGAAAACCTGATGAACTTGCTGATTTACCTTCGCAGGCATGTGTATTACAGAGCGCCTCCTCAGTGTGCAGGCCTATACAGATGTCTCCTCCGCTGGCGGGTGGTGGGTTGCTGCACGTCCGAGTCCGCTGGTAGTGTCCGCCCCCACAGCTGGCCGAGCACTGTGACCAGGAGGACCAGCAGGACCAGGCTCCACTCACTGGAACACATAATTAGCTTTATTTATGTATTGTTTATAGTCAGAACTACACTGACAGACTGAAACTTCCTGTCACCTGGGCACGGTTTAGTGTTGCAGTCCTGATACTCCACTGGGGATCCTACGCAGGCGCTGGGGTTGGTCCTGCCCTCTGCGGTCGAGCAGCTACGTTTGCGGGTTCGGAAGCCTCTGGAACACTGCTGAGAACAGCTGGACCAGGTTTCCCACAATCCCCAGCGCACACCTTGGGGCTGGGACAGAGTTCGCCCACTAGTCTTCACCAAGTCTTCAACCAGAGCTGGAGATACACAGAAAACACCTGTCATTTGCTTTATTAATATCCAGATGCCTTTAAAATGCACCATAAAAAATGATTTTTGAAAATCCCTTTCACATGCAGCACTAAGGAAGAGAAAACATGACTGACACGACTTTGATTCAAAAGAAATGACTGAAAGTTGATTCCAGCATCTTTTGATCCGCCCTGCTGAATGAGTGAATCGCTCAGAAAATCTAAACTTCTAAATTTTCAATGAGCTCAAACATAAAGCGCAGGATTTTATCTTTTCATTGCCAAACTCTGCAGACAGACAGCCTGTTATGAAACATTAATTAGTGAGGTGTAATCTGGGCCACGTTGGAAAATGAACTCGTTTTCCGTTACACCCGCCACACCGCACACACACAGGCATCCACAATCAGAAATTATTTACATATGAATGAGAAGTGCTTCCTGAGGCTCTTAATGGGGACAGCAGAAATATTTCAGGACGAGAGCAGCGACAGAATATGAAACAATAAAATGACACTATCAGCCTGTCAGCTTCATCTATGCCGGAGTAAATACCTAAATATGATTTTATTTCGCTTGGTTTTGTTTGAAAAATTCAGTGAAAGGAAAGAAGGAAAAGCCATGGACATGTGTGTCCCCATAACGGCTCAATGATGTTTAATCAATCTGCCGATTGATGTCTACAAAACAGTTTGGCTGCATCCTGCTTTTGATGAGACCAGCTGTGTTTATTGTGGCAAACTGGGAGCTCAGCCACCAGCAGCTCTCCTTAAAGCCCAATCAGATGCTGCTCTAGTTCAGCAGGTTTTACAGATACAGTATATTAGACTGGTCTGTAGAGTTAAACCAGGGTTCATTTTGTTTTTAGACTGCTTTCATCCAAAAATCAAGGCTCACACTCACAGTCAGTCTGGCAGGCTCCAGACCCGTCATTGGGGCAGAACCGGGTTTCCATCTTCTTCTTGCCCAGCTGGAGTTGCTGGGGGTCGGGGAGCAGTGCCCGGCAGGTGTACCTGAATCTCTGCTCCTGCCTTGACCCATCTTGACTGACATTGACTGGCATCCAGGGAGTCCAGGGGGTGTTGCGGCGCACCTCAGGGCAGGCCTCCAGGTTACAGGCCTTATACTCCTGCAAACAGGACGGAGGGCGTTTATCACCATTAATGTAGAATAAACTGAGCTGCTGCTGCCCTTTGTTTTCTTTACCTCCCAAAGCCATAGGATCACATTGTTTCAGTAATTCACTGTAAACAGCTTGCAGAGACATAATGCTGCCTTAATAAACAACACCAAACAACACAAATATTGCATTTCTGTCTGGAGGGACTTTATTATGCAGCCAATTACTGTGTTTAATAGAACCTCTTAAACTCTTCTGGTGGCTGTGAAGAGGCAAAACTTAAGGTGGCACTAAAGGCTGCATCTTGCTGCAGACACACAATGACTTCTCCTAGTTCTGTCGTGGGTTCAAGAAACACAACTCTCAATGTTTGTGGGTGGGAAGCCAGTGAGGGAGCATGCCACTAGCAACTACAACCTATAGATCAGGGCTCATGAGAGGAAAGAAGTGGATTCTTGGAGGGACAGTGTAAACGGCAGTTGGCCAGGCCATGGCACAAAAGAATTGGTCATGAAAAACTGGGAGGAGAAAAATCCCATAATCCATCTGGTTACAATTTACGGAGCACATTCATGCCCCCAAGGGGATTAATCTTTTAATTTCATAAACCAATTATCCGTCCTGTAGCAACTAAAGCCTAAAGGACCGATTAAAACGAAATCATTTATTCTCTGCAGAGAAACATAAATAAGAAGCGGACTGCGATAATAAATATTGCAAGACTCTTCAATTTAACATGTATTCTAACAAACGTATCCAGTTTGAAAAGGCCGGTAGTTTTTTGTGATCAATAAGACACAGAGGAGAAAATTAAACCATATTTATCTTACAGAATATACTGAAATATTCAGTGTAAAAGGACCACTTTTCAGTGTGGTTCTCAACATCTTAACCTCATTTCTTTAATTCCAAGCACTATAGTACCGTGGAGCATCCAGGACAGCTGTTGCCATTCTCGCAGGTTCTGGTCCTGGAGTGGACGCCCCCTCCACATTCAGCACTGCAGTGAGCCCAGGGGCCCCACGCTGTCCACAACACGGGCAGGGGACACGGCTTTTTCTCATTGCACAGCCTGCAAACACAGAGAGATCAATCCTATACAAAGTGGTGATATTTTAACTCTGTTGTGTACATTCTGCCTCCCAGTGCGAAAACATCACGTCAGCATATTCCTCCTCACCTCTCCTCTCGACCCTGGCCAACACAGATTCGACCGCCGTGGCGAGGAGAGGGGTTGTTGCAGGACCGCTGCCTCACCTCAAATCCGATACCACAGCTGCTGCTGCACTGGCCCCATGAAGACCAGGGAGTCCAGCCGCCATTCCTGAGGGACAGAATTGGAAATCCATGTTTTTTAGGGCACACAAAAGCTCCACTCTCTTTAAACTTGTTTCAAGCACCAGCAGTTGTTAGCTGTTGTTTCAGGAATACTTCAACCCCCAAATATACATATATATAGAAATGGACATTTTGGGGACATTTTTAGCTTGGAAATGTAGCAACAATTCAACATTATCAAGATTATGAGCCACATATTTCACAATTAGCTCATTCAGCTTCACAGACTACACAACTAGCTTTACATTCCAACTTGCCCACTTTTAAAATGTTTATTAGTCCAGTATTAACTCTTAGCAGGTACTTTAATGATCAAACCGTAAGGTTGCATTGGTTTAACTATTTCCAGCTTTGCCCTGATATAAAATCAGCAGCTTCCTAATGACTACCCCTATGTTTGGATATTTGCATAAAGAGACTGTACCTGGAACAGTTTGCCACCTGGATAGTTGGGCCTTTACATTCGACCCCGCCACATCGGGCCAGAGGTCCGTCACACGAGCGTGACCGGCACGCACAGCTGCTGACGGAGCCCTCGCCGTCATCATGGTTACAAGGTTGCCATGGCGCCCAAGAACCAAAACCGCCATCCTGTGTCAAGTTCCTCACCTCGAAGAGAGGATTTAAGGGGATTAAAGTCCACACCATGTGCACATGAATATGTCACATTTGCCTTAATGCACCAAAATGGTCTAAATCTACTGCTTGATGCCCTGTAATTATAAATATTGCCAAAATATTATTACTTAATATAGCACTGTGTAATAAACAAATACAAATTAATTTAAAGGGGACCTTTTATGCTCATTGTCAGGTTCATACTTGTATTTTGGGTTTCTACTAAAACATGTTTACATGCTTTAATGGTCAAAGAATGCTTTATATTTCATACAGTCTGTGCTGGAACACCTGTATTCACCTTTTGTCTGAAATGCTAAGCTTGTGAAAAATCACAACTAAAAGATTTTAAACCAAAATCTTGACACCTGGAAATTGTTCCAGCAAAAACATGATCCGAAGCTGGGGGAAAATTAGCAATATCGGCCAACCAAAATTACATGTTTCCTTGATGTTAGCATGTAGCTACATGTAGCAGTGTACTTGCAGCTGGGGAATGACTGTAGTGTTGCGTAGAAGCACTTTTTACAATGAAAAATTGCCAATAAAAGCTTCTATATAGGGCACCCCGGTAGCTACAGCCTATTTATTATTAAGACTAATTCCTTACCGCAGCGCCCAAGTCAGGAGTCCGGCCCATTGCCCTTTGCTACAGGTCCTTTGCTCACTCCTCCCTTTCACAACTGTCTCTATCCCTCAGTAAAGCATGAAAACTGCCAAAAATCTGTAAAAAATAAAAGCTTTTAAACACATCCGGACATGTTCCAGCAGGAATAAGATCCGGAACTGGTGGGAAATTAGCTCCACTGGCAACCAAGATTACATGTTTCCCTGATGTTAGCATGTAGCTACATGTAGCAGTGTATGTAATGCAAATACTTGCATTCACGGGCCTGGAGCAGAAGACCATAAAAAGAAATCTGTCACAAGCTGACGTCAGCTTGTAGGTAAAGTAGAAAAGAATGTTGTAAACAGAGTATTCAGAATTATCTGAAGCCTGAGGTTTTTGCCCACAGGGATTACTTTTACATATGTTTACCTGATTAATTAAAACTTTGGCAATTTTAATGTGGACATCTGACATTGCAACATTTTATATCGGACAGAAAATAAGGAAAAGCATAATAGGTCCCCTTTAATTCATTATAGATTATAAGATTGCTGACAATGTTTTTTTTTGACAATAACCTCACGGAAATCAAAGAGGAATTCTTTCAGACATTTTTCATGAAATCCTCCAGTATTTTAAAATACAATGTTAATAAAGTAAGGACCAATGCACCAGACTGACTGTGTGTGCATCTTACTGGGCACTCAGTGATGTTTTGGGTCCACTGGTTCATGTTGGAGCTCTCCTCGATGGTGGTGCAGTGCTTCTGTTTGTGATCCCAGCCGCAGTAAGGGTCCCGAGCTTCCATGCACTGACTAATGTGAGTGCAGACAACCATTTGTTACAGTTGCATAAACGTCAAGTCAAAAGCTCCGATGGTCTTCACATTTCTACAGTGTGCATTCAGCAGGATGTTTCAAGATAATCATTGTTTTCCCTGTTTCAAGTAGGAGTGCTGCTGGAGGGACTGATACTGAGACATCATACAATATTTTGTAAGGTTGTCAACATATTCTAGTAGCATCAACAAACTCATTTAATGCCTGCTTATGTAATGTCTGCTCTGCCAAAATATGGACTGACAGTTCAAAAGCAGTTTCTTTACGGGGGAAATAAACTGGGCTCTTAACATAATCATCTTTGTCAGCGTTTATTGCGGGCCTTTCAGACTTGGCCACCCACATGTGTTTGTCTCTTTAATGGCACTAACTTCATCAATCTCTTTAAGTATTTTCAAGTTGAGTTAGTAATTTGCACACCGGCACTAGCAGTAGCTGCAAGCCCACAAAGTGAGATGACTCCCAAATTTGAAACTGCGACTTGGACCAAAGGACTGACTGCAGAAAATCGAAATAAATCTAAGTCTCATTACTGAAAGCCTCATTTACTTTTTGGAAATATTATGTTGCAGTTTTGTACATTGGGTCATACCGTTCAGTTGGATAGCTGGAGCAGCGCTCTAATGGGATCTTCACCAGTCTGTCATCAAGCCCAACTATCAGAGATCTGTCACTGTGGAGGATCTGCAGGCTCTTGATTGGTCCGATCTGCCCTTGAGGGAGAAGCCTGAGCTCCTCCAGGTAGCAGCCTTGAAGGCTTTTATTGGTTGTGGAGAGAGTCTTCAGGATGGTGCCGTACTCTGATTAGACAAATGAGAAACTGATGAAACTGATCTACTCTCTTCATCTGAGTTTATTATTACTCAATTTTACCCCAGCTTTCTCCGGTCTTGCTCACCAGTGCCAATGTACATGACATGGTAGAGGGTGTCTCGGCCCTGCACGATGTCCACCACCAGCTTGGAGAATCGCAGGTTGTCCTGGGTGAGCAGAGGGTTGATGGTGACCGGCTGGACCACATCGTTCATGAGGAAGAGTCGCTGGGCATCCTGGAGGCTGCGCTCTGTCAAGTTCCCCCCGGGACCTCCCTCCTCCAGTGTGCCACACTGAGGGAGTAATGTCAGGTATTACGGACATAGGCTGGTGGTTTTCAAACATGTTTCTGATATCTTTTTTAACAATCTTTCCTCTCAAAAAACAAATCCTGTGCACACAAGCACAAATCAAAATGCATGCTAAACCAAAAAGTGGCAATATAACCGTAGCCCCTGAAGCCATGTTGGCCAATCATGCAAAGAAGTAGAGGAAGAGAAAAATGTTGGACAATCAGAAGTCTGAAAAACAGCTATTTCCAGAAGGCTATCTGGAGCAGTCACCTCTGTCGCTCCTCTGACGCCTGTGTTTTTCTCAGTATAGTGGAAAAGAAAACACTGACTACAACTAACTGCACAACAACCTGAAGCTCCAGGAAATACACCCCACCAAAGATGAACCCGCTGTAGCTATGGAGGATGCCTGTAGCCCTACGCTGGCTAAACAACCAAAACTGGATTTTACTTGTGGACAGCTGCAGGCTACAAGGAACAAATGACTAATGAAGCTTGTTGCTGGATATGTGGTGGAAGAAATGTTGCATATCTCCATGATGGATTCTCCCATCTTTCAGACAGATCCTTGGGAAAATACCAGTCACAGGCAACAGCAGACCCCCAGATAAAATATCATTTGCAAGCTATGTAGCCTTGGCTGTGCTTACCGGTGATTACCCTGACATTCACACAGAGGAGCACATGCAAAGTCTGAATCTAGAGGAGAAAGGAGTGTGAAAGCTGCAGGAGGCCATCACAGTGTATGTTAAATAAAAGCAAATCTGAAGTTTAAAATAACTAAACTACCGCACATGAAATGCAGAGATTACATAAACTGAAATGTCACGACAATGTCCCTGCAGCCCATATTGGGGAACATTTTGTATATGCGTTAGGAAACTTGCCAAGCACTTATTGTTGCAGATATATTTGACAGGGCTGAGCTAGAACTTTCTTTGTGCCACACTGCAATAAGCTATCTCTGCACTTGGCACCGTAACACGAAATGAGTGTCAGTCTTTAGAAAACTTCTCGGAGGATAGGAAACTGTGGAAGGACAAGACTTCCTGCTTCACATTTTCTCAGCTATCAACATCATGTTGTCAGAGAAGAATAGCTGTATGGAGCCAGGTTGTTTAAACGTGAGTTACCTGAAAATTGGGTATGGGGTTTGGGGTGGAGAGCCAGGCGGTGCGGGGGTTCTCCTGGTAGCGGAAGGGTCCGTTGAAGGCCTGGGTGATGGAACTCAGATTGAAGGCACAGACGGCAGAAGCTGATATACTGTTCCTAAAGGACGGGAGGGTGTGATTAGACAGGGCAAAACAACAGCACTCCCATTTTCTGTTTGAGAAAGAACGTTAACCCACAATGAACATTATTACTCACACGTTAGTGGTGAAGATGCCATAGATCAGGTCCTGCTCTGGTAAGTAAAAGGTGCTCTGCAGCTCGTTGTAGTAAAAGGGGATTTCTCCTGAGCGTGAGCAGTTGAGTCTGGCCTTCATGAAGGTGGTCCAGGTGTCTTCCAACAGGAAACGTCCACCCATATCGTTCTTACAGACCCGGGCCACGCGAGAGAACACTATCTTCCCACAGTCATTTTCAACAGCAGTTTCTCTCAGGAAGAAGTAGGCAAACCGACCGATCTCATACACAGACACGAAATTAGGCTCTAAAAGACACAGGAGGAATGAAAACATATGACACCCACACACATCAAGAGAAGACAAGAGGAGTTAGTGTTTGTTTACCGTTGAGCCATTTGGAGTTGTACTGGGCGGTGCGCAGTGGCGGCATGTTCCCCAGGCTCCTGTAGATGACGGGGTCACGTCCTGAGAAGTCGATCACTGTTGCAGCATACAACTCGCCCCGCTCTGTTACCATGGCAGTGGAGTTGTGGCGTGGGTCATAGGGACAGCGGGCAACACCATTCACTGTGTCCAACACCTGGCTGATATTATCAATCTGACAGGAGGTGGAAACATATAAAAACACAACTGAATTCACAACAAACGAATAAATGAAAGAGTGCTACGGTGATACAGTTTATTTTAAAGCCAACATGGAAGTTAGCGTCGGTCTGGTTCCCTCGACAACAAGCCAGTGGTATTTTTTCACTGGATTTTTTTTTATCATTGCAGAAAATTAGCCCAGTGGCAAACAAACGTTTATGATACAAACCCGTTTTGCTTAAACAAAACAGTATAGTCTCTGAAGCATTAACTTTCATGGACACCAGGAAGTGCTAAACTGCTAAATTATTTTTGGGTTTTAGGACTCATTCCTGCAGAACTCTGTTAGAGGGAAATACAGAATCTGCAGCTTCTGTTTTAATATTTGATTCGCACTGTGGGTTGCAATTTAATTTACTTAACTTTTGTGGTGGTGAAAGGTGACTTTATAAAAACCTATTATTTATGTTAATAACTTCTAGGGTCATAAAGCCAACAAAACCAATTATTCATAAGCATTCATTTCACAGAAGAGCCTCCTTTTTAGGGCTGAAATGATGAGTCATTAATCAATTTTTTTTAATTGCACAGAAGTGCTTCACAATTTACTGGTTCCATCTTTTCAAATGTGAGGATTTTATGCATTTTTCTCTTTTATGCCATGTAAATGGAAAATCTTTTGATTTGAAAGAAATCTAACAGGAATTTTTTTTAACTATTTTTCTATTCCATAGTCTAAACATTTCATTAATCAATAAAGAAAATATTTGACGGATTAATCAAAAATGAGAAATGAAAATAACCATCAGTTTCTACTCCTGTGATTTTGAAAAAAAAAAAAAGTTTTCAAAGATTGCATAATGTGTTTTTTCTACCTTAAGGCAGCACTTAGTTTGAATTCTTTCATTACAGTACAAAAAATAACTTGAAGAGGCTTTAAATTGTCTTGAGATTCTGTTGTGAATGAGTTCTCACTTGTATTTTTTCAGATTAATTTTGATCCCGATGGCTCAACAAAACTTGCTTCATCACATCTCATGATGGTCAACTGTTGTACCAACCTTCCTGTTTATGCAGACTGGGGTGAAAGCATTGGTACCACACATGAAGAGCGTCCCCCCACTTATAAGCAAAACCCGGATGTAGTTTTGACACTCCTCCTGCGGACAAACACACCACAACTCAGCTTTGTTCATCATTAGCCTTTCACACAGCAGACATTTTGACTTGTCGCAGCAGTCACAGTACTTGTGACAGTGAGGAAGCATGCACAATACCAGCAACATGTGATTAAAGCAGCTAAATGGAATTCAGCCATCATTATTTTCATTATTTACACCTGTGCTTCTCGAACTGTGACATGTCAAAATGTCCTGTGAAAAAGGTCTATTAATAAAACCTTATTTCAGGTGATCCGCATGTTGAATAGAGTGAAAGAGGACTGTTATATGACATGACACACTACCTCAGACTTCCCCTTGCTCTGACATGAGCGCTTTGTGTCTTCATCGGGCGCCCATTCTGCCTCCTGGGGAACAAAAATATTAATGTTTTGGTTTGTTTACAACGAAATTAACTTATACAGCATCACAGCACAGACAGAAGTTTAGGTACCGGCACTTCATGCTACATGTAATAAGAAAATCAGAAAACACACCTGGAACATTTGCGCAAAATTTAAAGGACTGGTTAAACATTTTGGTAAATATGCTTATTCACTTTTTTTTGCCTTTGGACAGAAGAGCTGTTTCCCTCCTACTTCCAGTCTCTATGTAAAGCTAAGCTATCAGACCTGACAGCTAGTGACGTGCGAAAGAGACCAAACAAATCATTTTTAACGACTGTTTTTCGGTGTCCAGTATTAACCGGGTCAGCCTGAGGAACGTCCGAGTGTTCATGAAACCCAACTTTTCCAATTCGCCCTCTTATCATGGGGTTCTGCTCGTGCTGCCCACTATGGTGGGTGAATGAGACGTGATTAAATCGGACTCAAGTCCCGACAGCCAGGCAGCTACACTCACTGAACGAGAGCAAATGAAGTGTGAACGAGCCAGGATCGATTAAATCGGACTTGAGTCCTCGAGAGACCTCCACTAGCCAAAGTCAATGGTGCATTTACGTGCTACGTCAATAAATCTTCCAACTTCAGTGTGTTCATGTGCTTTAAGCTGTAATGTGGAAACATGGATACTACAAACTAGGAGCATTTAAACAACACGTTGGTAACAAAGAGGAAAGGAAACAGTTCAGGTGAGCCATGAAATAGGATGGATTTTCCAGATTACTCCAACAACACATGAATGCAACACAAGGCTGAAGAGGTAACTCTCATGGTACTGATCTTAAAAAAACAGACTACATACATGTGGGATGCTGAATTAATACATTACAATCAATGTATTTAATTTTACTCATGTAACCGTACACATGATGGCTATATCTTCCTAAAGTATCAAAACTCAAAAGGTTTGAAAGGTTGAAAGGATCACTAAGAGCGGCAGAAAATATGCCCAAAATGTTGAACTATTCCTTTAAGCAAAAAATGTGTGTGTGTGAAACAAAAACACATATTAAACACATTCACTTAAAATTTTTAATAAATATTTACAGAATTTTTTTCACCATATTACTTTTTAAAAATGTAAAAAAAAGTATTTAAAGTACATATTTAAATAAATCAAATATAGTTTTATTCATTTTTATCAATTCAAATTTTTGCTTGTATAACAGAGAAATTAGTTAAACTACAAACTAAAAGGTGTCACATCTCTTATCTCTTACAACTTACGCTCTTGGCTGGGCTAATGTTACCTGTATAAGCGAGGCGTCACTCAAATTCAGTCTAAAGAGGAAGTTTCTGTAAAAGAGATGCTTCATGTTAGAGATAATGTTGACTGGATGCTGTTTGTCCGCTTTAAGTGTATTTATTTGTCACCTTGCTCCCACAATCAGCTGGTTTCTGCTCAGGTCCAGGGCCAGCTGGGAGAAATCCTTCACTCCTGGGTGGGAGAACTCCGACATCCACGGCCTCAGCGCTGGACAGAGAGAGAACAACAGGATGGTGGGACATGTAAGGGAGAAAAGTCATGCAGAGTCATGATAAAAAATGTGTGTGGGAACCCCTGACCACCAAATGGTACCTGGCTCACAGCTCCAGGCCCCTCAGTGTTTTACTGATGTGTCACATTTCTCTGCAGTGAATCACCTGATCCCTCAGCTCTGCGACTTCCTGTGAGCCATTTGACCTGATGCCAGAATGGAGGCTCAGGACAAGGCTTCAAAAAAGGCTAGTTGAAATGATTACAGTATCAACAGGAATATTAATAAAAGCAATGCCCTTGGTATGACTCTTTTATCGTATTGCAGTACATTTCAATTTAATTTTATTCTGTATGTTTTTATTTGCCTGACTTTATTTAATTGCACATTGTTTTTTACCCTGGAAAGCACGCTGTGACTTTGTTTATGAAAGGTGCTCTATCAATAAAGTTTATTATTACAATAAATTAAATTAAATGGACTTGATTTAAAACCTCTACCCCGGGCAGGATGACAGCAAACCAAAAACTGAACAGTAAACAAGCCACTGGCTGTTTACATCATCTTTGGGTAGTGTGTGAACAAACCACATAAAGTGCAACAAATGAATCCTTCTCACACTGCTTCAGAGCAATTTACTGGTGTCTAAATTAACGCTGGTCCCTTTTATTGGACGGCCTAGCTTGTGGGACAAAGTATCCAATACAATAACAACATAGTTTGCCAGTGCGACACTGTGAGCTGAATGGAAGCTGACATCCTGTCAAAATAATATCATCACAGACCCTTTCACAGTTGTTAGACAGCTGAATAAGGACATTTAATGAGGCCATGCTGTAGACACTCAAAACATTTATTCATTTCATATAAACCTTTCTGTCTGTTCAAATGTCCAAACATAATTCTAGAATAATAAAACCTATAACTTTTAACTGCGAGCGTTGATGCATAAGATAGCTCTTTAATACAGATTAATGCCACCTGAGAGCTTTTAACACTGCCGTGCTTTTATTGTCTCTATTAGCTCAAGCCTCGTGTTTCATAATAATTATTCTTTATTCGTCTCATGTTAAATGTGAAGCAACACTTTGAGAGCAACGACTAAATCCTGGTTCTTCCATACCACCATTTTTGAGGTCTCTGTTCCACTTTGAACACCATTAAAGAGGGCAACAATATGATATAAATACAAACCATCACTTAGACGACAGAGAATTTCAGAAGGAGCTACTGAAGTCAAATTAATTTTGTGCACATGCCTGTGGACATAACGATCTGTGGCAGCCAACACTGAGTCCATGCACACACTTATATTCATCAATGTTATACCAACAGCTCAGTAGGAGACATACGACAGCGTATTAAGGACATTGGAGGTACACAAAAAGGAGCTGGGTGAAGCAGGAAATTTTTTTTTAGATTAAAGTTGGATACTTACAAGGAAAAACTTCAGATATTCTCTGACATTTAAGTGGTAAATTCACAGAAAAAACTTTGGACATTCTCTGAGATTAAAGAGTTGAATTTACAAGGAAATCCAGATATTCTCAGGTAAATTTACAAGTAAAGTAAAAACTCGGATATTCTCCAAGGTTTAAGTGGCAAATTTAAGAGAAAAAACGTAATATTTTCTGAGATTAGAGTATATTTAAGAGAAAAAAAATTCAGATATTCTCTGAGATTAAAGTGGTAAATATACAAGAAAAAACTCTGATATTCTCCAAGACTGATTAATTAAGATTAATGTGGTAAATTTTCGAGAAAAAAAATTGGACAATCTAATGGACAATTCAGGAAAAAAAAAGAATTATCTTTGAGATTTAAGTGGTAAATTTCCAAGAAAAAAACTGAATATTCTCTGAGATCATCATGATAAATAAACAGAAAAAAGACCCCAGACATTCTTTGAAATTAAAGTGGTGAATTTATGAGAAAAAAAAAACCCTGGAAAATCTTTGAGATTAAAGTGGAAAATGTACGAGAAAACACTTCTCAGAGATTAGAGTGGTAAATTAATGAGGAAAAGCAAAGAATATTCTCTAAAATTAGAGTGGTAAATTTACAGGAAACAATTTTGGTTATTCTCTGAGATTGAAGTGGTAAATTTACACACACACACACACACACACAAAAGAAAATTCTCTGAGACTTAAGTTGTATATTTACAATAAATAATGTTGGAAATTCCTTGAGATTAAAACACTACATTTCTGAGGGAAAAAAAATGGATATTCTCTGAGATAAAAGTGTTAAATTTACCAGAAAGTCAGTAGACATATTAAAAAGAGTGATAAAGTCACTCATTTAGCAGCTTTAAGTCAGCTAAGCCTAAAACTAACAGCTAACAATAACCCACGTGGGATACAAACTCTGGTCTCCTGGGTGAAAGTCCTGTACAAATTCATCCATCACAACTTTCCTCCCTACATGGTCTTTGTTACTCTTTATACTACGTCACCTGACTTTCTGGCAGCACATTTGTGAGTTTTTTCTTGGAAATTTACCGCTTTAATCACAGAGAAAATCCCAATTTTTTTCTCATAAATGTATAACTTTAATGTCAGATTTTTTTTTACCAACAAATATGTGCAGCTGAAGGAAAAGCAGACTGATGTTGACGCACTCACCTTGGTAAGAGACAACAGGATGCTCCTTTCGACTACAGTCCACTGGTTTGATGTGAGGCTGCTGGGACAGACACACAGACGAACAGATGATCAGCACGAGGCCACAGGGGGAGAGGGCCCACGCCCCCCACCCTGACGTAACCATAGTTACAACCACATCCAGTCTTCTATCAGGTCCTCAGGAAACACCTGTCGGAGAGGAGAAGTCGGTCAATTTAAGCACATTAAACAACAAGGATGACAACTAATCTTGTGACCAAAATATAAAGCTTAAGCATCTGTAATAGCACTTTACACTTCTGCACACACTTCCTTGCTCTCTATCCGCCTGTCCATCCATTTAAATTAGTTTTGCCAGCCCAGCGGTCTTTCTGCTGGCTCTGTCTATCTGCCCTGGGTGTCCAGCCCCTCAGTGTCAGCAGGACTCGGTCATGGCTAATTCACCTCAAAAGGCCAGAGCCGCCAATCTCTCTAATGCCGACTCTCAAACCGAGGGTGCCATCAACAGTGATCTTTATGACTGAGGAGAGCTATTCAAAGACGAGCCTGGGCCCGGAGCCAAACGGGGGTGTGAACTTTGAACTGTGAGACACATGAAGGGTCTTTGTGTCAACATCAGAATTCATTTATACACATCAAATCTGCTCAGAGACGATGATCCGATGATGACCAAAGGTCCAGGGGCCAGAGCAAAGGCTCTTTTACGTGGAGCGTGTCACAAAATGGCACAAAAAAAATTAGCTGATGATTTAGGCTGCATCAATGCCAGCACATGTGTCGGGCATACTGTCAAACACTTGGTCATGATGTTAAACAACCTGCAGTGAAGAGCTGAGATAGCAATCTGAGAAGTTCCCTCAGTGATGCCAAACTTGAACAATGAGGCAAACAGGTGAAATACAGCAGACAAATGGAGCTCTTCTCTCACCACTGTGTGAACATACGGACATCCAGGTCAAAAGGATGATGCCAACTCCACTGTTACAGCATCTCACTGTTATTTTTAGCATGAGATACACACAGCAGGGGATGACATGCCCAATCCCAGACTGCTGACTGAATCTGTAGCTCACCCCTCATCTCTGCTTTATGGCTGATTTATGGTCAGTGTTACATGCATATATGGACAGAGCCATCTGCGTTTTCTGGGTTCAGGTCATCCATAGTTGTGAATGTTTTCTAAAAGCTTACAGATACGGACAATACACAGCAGTACCACCACAAATCATGGGGGCAGTGTAACATACTGTATTTAATGAGCTCGACGACCTCCTCCACCATCGCCATGTTTGTTATTGTCAGAAATGTTTGACTCTGCCCTCTCTTGCCATCGAGTGGATGTATCTATGCCAACAAAAGGACGATCACAACGTTTGAATTGAACAGACCTATTTTGCTACGTAAAAGGAGTATAAATGAGCGTTTAGGCTCGAGGCTACATGAGCTTTTCCTAACACAACACAGAATCTATAACTGAAGTGTTTCTTTAACTGTGCAGCCTGAATCTTGTTTCTGTGCAGTTTTAATACCTGTAGGCAGTTAAAATGTCCATCAAACAGTTGAAGAGCAACAGCTGAAAGCAGAAGACGTGTCAGTCTATGTCTTAGCCATGAAAACAAATTGCACCAAAAGCAGTTAAACTGTCAGCTGAAATCAGCAGAGAACAATAAGTGGGCCTAGTGTGCACCGTTCATTATCAAACTGAAGGATACATTAGTTTAAATTTGCATGATAATCAAACCATTTATTTATTTTTAAATTTCACATTCATTACAAAAAACACTTCTTGTGAGCTACAGTTCAGCAGGTTTGTTAAATGTCTCCCACCCTCCTTTAACCCTTTAACTAATTTCCTCGCAGCTCTGGATAGTGGAGGCGGTGAATGTGTGCCTGTCTACTGCTCACCAGGAGGACTGAATGTGTGTGGAGGCAGAGGTTTTTCAACCTGCTGGGTCTGACATTGCTGCTTAACGAAGCGACAGGAGCAGAGCTTTCACCGCTGGCCTCGCTTTTGTTCTGTGGCCATGCTCCTCTCACCGTGCAAAGGCCGGCCAGTGAGAGGCCTAGTGTTCGGAGACTTGTCTATTCAGTACAGTGAGGGGGAGCAGCAGCAGACGTCAGTCAGATTCTTCAGGGGCATTAGAAAATGTGCAGATGGGTTCTCACTCTGTAATCAGCCCTAGTTAAAAATGAAGTCTGCATGCTAATTTTAAGAAGTCCTCATATCTGAATAAGAAAATACGTTGTTTGTCTGTGCCTTCCAAATGACTCATATGAGCATTTTCAGGAACACCACCTCTGTTAAGCTCATGCTTAATCAATTAAAAGTACTTAATTAAGGCTCTAGAATGATCATAGTCATGGTTAAAAGAAGACAACACTGACTGTTGGTAGGAGATGGCATGCAAACAACAGACACTTGAAACTTGGTGTCCGCCCAATCACACACCCCGAACATCTTCCTGAGAGGTTTTTCAGCATTTAAATAATATTAAAGCACTTCTGCCTCAGTGTATGAGAAAGGACAGCCATGACCAGAATAACCACAAGAGGTCCCTTGTCAGGAAAATGTAAATACAAGTCCTCTTAAAGTTGGAGTTTAGGACTTTAACATATAAATGAGCCTCTGTTACATTCAAGCTTTCGCCAAATGAGTTCACACAAAGCTGATTAAGCTTACTGCCACCAGGGAAAGCTCTCTGTTTCTCAGTATAGCAGAGTTTTGGTGTCAGTCATAGACTATATAATAAAGACGGACAACATGACAGCTCAATTTAATTTTTCCCAAAGATGGTTTCTGTCATTTTAGGTAGTTCTTATCACTCTGGTGTACATTCAAGTGTTGGTTTTTCTTTTGAGTTCGGTTTTAATTAATATGATGTTACAAAAAGGGGAAATGACATCATGACTGACAACTGTGTGGGCCAATTGGTGTTCTCGCGACTGGTTGGATGGGTGAGAACTTAACATTGCTGAGATTGCTACTGCGCAGACTCTGGCTCCAAATGCCGTTGCCAGTGCAAGATGGCAGCAGCCATGTCCTGAATATATGGCTTAATTTATGCACAGTGGGAGGAAGAGGAGATGCGTTGTCTAGTTTTATATACAGTCTTTTTTGCATAATTCTGATGTTTTCTTCTGGTACTTTGTATGTTGACAGTTTGAAATAAAAAATTAAGAAAGAAAAAGAAGTGGGGACAGACCATAGTGGCTGAGCAGCAGCTAGGAGAAGCTCTGGCAGAAGCTATGCTAGAACATCCTAGGAAGCGTCCAAGAAAAGTTTCTGGAGAGGATGCTTCCGATAAAAAAGAAACAGATTAAAGGATTAAAGTAAAAAAAAAAATACTTGAAGGGAGTGCTCCTACAGGTATTGATAGTCATTGTGTATGTAATTGCTTTTATTGCCAGAGGGGGGAGACAAAAGTTCAGCACTCCAGCTTTAAAATTTTGAACAGTCTTAAATAAAGACCTCAAAAGCTTGTTTGTGTTGTCAGCAGTAGAGACTACAAAGTTGATGTTTCCAAATGTAACTTGAGTGATCACAATGTGTTCTCAATGAGTAAGATATTTTAGGTTTGGGAGCAAACCAGCGTTGACCAAAAAGTAGGAAGTAAAGGCAAAAAATATTCAAGCCTGTTTTCCCAGAGCCATGAGCGTGTCAGAACATTCAGTCATTCATGTAACAGCCTGTGTTGGAAAAACACCATAAAGCCTTAACAACCTGTGGGGAGATTAGAAATACAGAGTCTCCGATTCATGTGACCTGTATGTGTTTGGACTGTGGGAGGAAAACCACAGGAACACGGAGCCAACATGTGACCTCCACACAGAGCGGAACACTGCCAAGGTTTTAACCCTCCTGTAGTCGCCGTGAATAAAGTTTAAGACTTTGGTTCACTGTATCAATACAGCAAAATATATGACAGGTGTATACTTTATCTTTTAGCATCCATTGCAGCTGCAGTTATGATTACAATTCTCGTGGGATTACAGATCTTCTGAATGTCTTCCAGAAACTAGAGCCACTGAAAATGAGTTGTGTTGACCAAAGCGATGATAATAATTGGCCTAAAGTCATTAAATGTGTCCTACTCTGCAGAGGGGTCTGTTATCCATCACATGTGGAGACCCTGCAACAAAAACAGCTCACTGCTAACTACTTTAAAACCTTTGCCCATATATAGACAGCTTACCGGTCCTCTTATTTCACTTTGACTTTTATCACCAGCATGTGATTTGTTGCAGTGACCAAGTCTACAAGCCCTGTATGGGAAAAAATATATATTATAGTGCTGCCCCTATGTATGTATGTACACATCAGGATGGCTTCAGCCCTTTAAATCAGCGGCTCCCAAACTTTTTGACTTGTAACACCTTAAAAAAGAAGCTATATTTACTTGTGACCTCTTGTCACAGGTTGCACATATCGATGGATACTGGCTGGTACAAGGAAATGGTGATTTGTCTTTCTCAGATTCATTTATTTATAGGGGAACGTCGGTGTATACTGGACCCTATTTGCCCATGTTTTTGTGTCTTGGTGACAAATGGGAAGACCAGTTTTGGACACTGACCCAGTATTGAGCGAGAGAGCTACAGCTGGCAGCCACAAAACAGGCTGCAACATAACCACTTGCGGCAATATGCACGGTCAGTTCACGTCCACCAAAAGGGATTGATTTTGCCACTGACAGGCTCAGATTGCTATCTGAAGTGTCTGACAACGTATGGAAAGGATCCCTACAGCGATAGACCTGTTTGTTACAGAGTAGGATCATTTTTGTTCAACCAGAAACAGCCAATAAATTACCATCACCACAATCACCTGATCTTACTCCTCAACAAAAAAGGTCCATCTCTTTAAAAATCTTTCCATAATGTTGTCAGACACTTGGAATAATAATCAGAGCCTGTCAGTGACAAAAACAAACACCTTTAGTGGATGTACATTGACCTAAGTGGTTACATAGCAGCCTGTTTGTGGTTGCCAGTTGCAAGACTCTCACTCAAGACTGGACCACTTTAAAATATTGCTGTTCCCATAAGTCAGTTGTTTGAAACGACACAGAAACATGGGAACATTGGGTCCAAGTTGAAAAACACCAAAGTTGCCTTTTAAGTCCTTTTTCAGGACCTGTGGCTGTGAAATTATCCAGTCATTCAGGAGCAAAAGCAAAGAGTCAAAAAAT